GTGTCTCACTTTAGAATCAGGGTAATGCTAGCCACATAGAATGAGTTTGGAAATGGCCTTCCTCCTTGTTTTGTCCTTCTCTGTCCACTGCACTCCATCTCATTTATTTGTTTTATTTCTATTTTGTTTACTGCATTCATGCAGTACATAATGACTATATTAATTGTGGGGAGCTCCATATTCACGTTACATCTTCATTCCGTTTATGTCTGCTCCTCTGCTGTGACTCCTCCCTCTATCCCTGGGTCCCCAACACATTTGCAAAAGTTCTGTCTTCCTGTTTTGGATTATCTTTTATTTCACTCTTTGATTTATTTATACTTTGAATTTCTCATATAAAAGAATCCACGTGATGTTTAAATTTGTCTGCCTGACTTATTAAGCTCTTTGGAAGTTTAATTTTTCTTTAGGTGTTGGGTAGAATTTCCAGGGCAGCCATCAGGTTGTGTGATGTCTCTTTTTTTATTATAAGAGTTCTGGTCATTGTTTTAATGTCCTGACACATTATAAGTCTGTTTAGATTTTTATTCATTTGTGTTTAAGTTTTGGTAAGTTCTCTACGAATTTACTCATTTCTTATAGCCTTCCAGTTTGTTGGTGTGTAATTTTTCAGAGTGGTCTCTTATAATTCTTCTGTTTTGGAGGCATCCATTGTTCAGTTTTTTTTTGTTGTTTCATTTTAATTTTATATATTTATGTCTTGTTTATCTTTTATTAATGTAACAGAAGATTTTTTAAAATTCGGCTGATATAGTAAAGGTTTGGAGCTCACTGTTTCGAATTGTTTTTCTACTCTCTATTGCATTTATGTCTGTCCTATTGTTTACTATTGCCTTCTTTCCCTTCACTTTAGGTTTGATTTATTCTTATCCTACTCTGTTAACAATCTCCGATTGCTAATTGAAATCTTTCTTTTTCAGTATAATCGCTGCATGCTATAAATATCTTTTAGTACTGCATAAGTGAATCCCACAGCTTTGGTATACTGTATTTTTATTTCCATTCGTCTTTAGATACTTTCTATTTTCTTTTAGTTTCTTATTAATTCATTGATAAAGAGAGAGGTTTTAAATTCCACATGTTTACTTTTTTCTTTCTGTTATTGATTTCTTGTTTCCTTCAACTATGGTGGGAAAAGATAACTGGTAACTTATTTTTTGCAATCTTTTAAATTGTGTTGACTTGTGCTTTACCTTAGAGAATATTTCTTCTCTACTTGAGAAGATCATGTTATGCTACTGTTGGCTAGAGCATCTTTTTTGTTTTGTTTTGTTTTCCATTATGTCTCATATGTCTCTAGTGTTGTTCAAGTCCTCTATTTCCCAATTGTTTTTCTCTCTGGTTGTTCTATCCATGGACTAATGGAAGTGTGTTATTTGATTCACCTACAGCATTTGTGTTGTTATTTCTTGTTTCAGTGATATCAATGTTCATACTAGATATTTGACTATTTTATATATATATATATATATATATATATATATATATATATATAATTCTATGCCCATGGGGGTACTGACATTACTATGATTATTATTTATTATTATTATTATTATTATTACTACTAAGAATTTAACCCACAGCTTCCACCAAGCATGAAATTGGTACAGAACTGAAGCAGGATAATAGGAAATTAACAATGGCTATCATAATATACCTTATTATCTTCACAATAGTTGTCCATTCCATGAGACACAGCAAATCAAACCAAAGAAAACAGAATAAAGCCAATCAAAACAGGAGACTGAATAAACAAAACAATAAATTGGAACAAAACAAAACAATGAGAACAATATTGGATTTCAAAAACAAGATAGAAGGAAATCACCCATATTTGTTATATTGTATAGTGTTATTCTCCCAATAGATGTTCAGATTTTCAAAATCAACCAAACAATACATTCAGTTGCTTTTTGCACCTCAATTGCTATCAACTCAGCCTGTCTTCCAAAGCAGAGAGCTGTTTGCCAAGGGTAGGGGTTAGTTCTTGATTTTTAGCACCTGCGCCAGTAACTGCCTTCTTCTTCATTGGCTCCCAAAGCCAGCGTGTCTTCTGGGAACAACTTCATTTCACGTTTCTCTTGTCTGAAGTGAGGATGACTAACTCTGCTCTCTTCAGTTTCCTCTTTACATGGAAAACTTCTTTTATAGCCTCTGTGCCTCCGTGGATACAAATTGAGTCTCTTGTATTGGCACATTTTAGCATTTCAGCCAATCGATGTTTAATTGGTGTGCTGAATATTCTTTTACTTAAGGTAAACAGTCACAGGAAAAGACATTGTTGTTTTAAAAATTATTTTCCTCTGTTGCACCTTTTGGTTGCATAGAGTCCTCCAAAGTTGTGTGTGTGTGTGTGTGTGTGTGTGTGTGTGTGTGTGTGTGTATCCACTTCTTTCTGCCCCTTTGGGGCATGTGTAGCACATTTATTTGAAAAAAGTTTTGCTTCTTCTAGGAAATTGCCTTCCCTGATATATGCCTGCAGTGTGCTGGCTTGTTAGTGGCATAGCAAATTCTGCTGCTGGTGAACCATTAGTGTCATTCTTTGGTACTGCAAAATGATTCACATTTTTGGTTGTCTTTTTTCTGAGACCCCAACCTTATCCTAAAGTGGCACCTGTTTCTATTAGTATACAAGCAAGACAGAAACTAGTTCTTCAGCAGAAAACACTAGACATAGGGAATTTTGGATGTTTCCTACCAACTGTATGGTGCAGAAAGAAGTGAGAGGAGTTCTGGTGAGAGGGTGGAAAGAATCATGAATTTTCCTGCAAGGTTTCTATATGTTTGCATTTGTAGCAGCCTGGGGTGCATGAAGCCTGTACAAATTGGTGTCTGCTTTTCTCACAGGAGAATTTAGTCCATTTGTTAGCTCTGTGTCTTGTACGGGAACAAGAACCAAGACTTCATCTTCAATCAAATTCTTAATATCATTTTCTGTCACCTTGTTTTTTTAATATCTGGGACTAATAAAATGACTTTCTGATAAGATTTGGTGACTTACTATTTTTCACAGAAAAATCTTAGTTATTTCTAGTAAGTTTATTATTTGTCAGGTCAAATCAAGTTTTTCTTTTTCAGTGACACTGTATATAATTGAAAGTCATTATAGAAGAAAAATCATATCTTGTCACCTATGTGACCATTTATTGGGCATTAATCTATATCTCCCAAGTATGGTCAATATAAGATACACAGAGGGTTTTTAGGTTATGTGAAAGAGTAGATACTATGAGTTAGATGAAATGGTAAAATGTAGCAGCATGATCTATTTGTTTTTAAAGGATTTCTCTGGCTACCAAGTTAAAAACACATAGGTGGACAGGAGTATAAGCTCAAAAGTGTATGAAGAGCTATTACAATAAGCAAGTGTAGACATGATCGCGTAGAATACTGGTAGCAATGAGCAGCTATTTTTCATCTTAATTCAGACAATAGAATACATAGAGTGGATGACCTAACAACAGAACTGTATTTCACACAATCAATAAGCTTAAAGTCTGAGATCAAGGTAACAGTATTGTTGAGCTCTGGTGAGAACTTTCTTCTGAAAGCACGCATGGGTATCTTTATGAAGTGTCTTCAAATGAATTTATTTTATTATGGAGGAACTAATACTGTTATAAAGGCTCTACCATCATTATCTTATAACTTTCCAAAGTTTCTAACCCCAGATACTACTGCCCAGGAAATTAGGTTCTTAACATATGGTACTTGAAGACACACACACACACACACACACACACACACACATATATATATATATATATATGCATTATATAATATGGTGAGTTTTCAACAGTGCATCAAGAGGGATTTGCTTATGGTTGTGGTTCTGGGTAGTGAGAAAATCAGGTATCAAATTTGTTAAAATGAAAATTTAAATATCTGTATCTACTGAAACATACATTGAGTGTCAGGCATGTGTGTAGTTTATGTGATCTCCTCTGGCCACTTTGAAGTTTAACCTTTCTGCCATTTCCCTAGAAATGATGATTTGGGAATGTTCTGCCACTACATTCACTCGGGCTCTGGGTATCTGCCTGGAAATGTATAGCTGAATATCATGTTCAACTGAGAGCACTATCTTTTAATAAATCAGTCAATTACATTAATGCAAAACAGTAATCTAACTACATCGATGTAGTTACTAGGTTGATGCTGTAATCAGAAGTCAATCTGGAGAATCCTCAAAACCTAGAAATTGAAATTCTGTTTCACCCAGCTATCCACTATCTAAGTATTTTCTCAAAAGAGATAAAATTATAATTAGACAGGAATGCATTGCATATCTGAATTTCTGGAAACACAACTTGTTATAGCTAAATCTTAGAACCAGCATAAATCTCCACCAAGAGATGAATAGATAAAAAATGTGATATTTATACATGATGGGATACCACTCTGCCATAAAGAGCAATAAACATAAGGAATTTCTAGGTAAATAGATGCAATCTGGAAACAATATTAAGTGAAATAACTCACACACACATGTTGAATTACAATGTGGTTTCTGTTATCTTATACACTCAAAGTATATTTAAAAATGAAGAAAAGTAAGTAGGAAGTGGGGAGAGTTTCAGATAACTCTCCAAATTACCTATTCTATTTATTGTAAAATCTTTTAATTTATATGTGAATTACTTTCATTCTTCTATTTGTCTACGTCAATTGAATGGAATGTTTTATACTTACATCTGGTTGTTTCTTCTTTGTAAGAAACTTTTTCGTTGATGTTTTATACCTTGAAGGCAATGATACACAATATATTGTTTTTGGTTTGCTTTTTATTACGTTCTGAATGTTTGTTTTATTAGTTTATGAAATGAAAACAGAAAAAAATTATCTGTGCTGTAATGCTAGCATTAAAAATGAAGGCTATGTAACCTTTTATGTTAAAAATAGTGTTTTTGGTTAAAAAAGAAAAATTCTGAAATGTTCATATAAATAGTATTTGTATTATTTCTTTTTAACATTTTTCCCCTTTCTTTTTTTTTTCTTAGATATTCTTTGCAGCTCTGTCATTTAGCTATGTCTGCAAGGCTTTCGGTGGCTCCATTATGAAAACTTCCATCACCCAAATAGAAAGGAGATTTGAGATACCATCTTCTGTTGTTGGTTTCATTGACGGAGGCTTTGAAATTGGTAATGTTTATTTCTATTTTAACAGGCTTGCAGCAAGAAAACGTTCATACATACTCTGTTCCTACTCTTTTCATGTGCGGTAAATTAGTCCCTCAAGGCCTATTCATAAACATTTTTTGGCTGTTATACCTTCTGGGCCTGTGTGTATAGCTGGTAACCAGGGGTAGAGGCCAGGTGCTACTCAGCAAGCATCCTGTGAGGTACAGAACAACACCCAATGAAAAGAAATTCCCAGCGCCTAATGTCAGCATGTTCCAAGTGAATAGAAAGGAAGAACCATGATTCTTATGAGTTGGAGAGAAAGGAAGAGTTTGGAACAAACTGTCTTGGATTTTTACTACTCTTTTAAGTGTTTGAGCCTGATATTTTTTCTCTTCTCTTCTCTTCTCTTCTCTTCTCTTCTCTTCTCTTCTCTTCTCTTCTCTTCTCTTCTCTTCTCTTCTCTTCTCTCTCTTTTTTCTTTCTTTCTTTGTCTTTTCTTTCTCTATCTTTCTTTCTTCTTTCTTTGTTTCTTTCTTTCTTTCTTTCCTTCCTTCCTTCCTTCCTTCCTTTGCACAACATGGAAGATAATGCCTTTTCACCCTCCTTTTAGTTTGCTATCTATTCCCATATTCATGAATCTTATTTCAAATATTAGTGCTTCTTATTTTATGAATTTATAGCTTAGTCAGCTTCTTGTCACTTTAACCACATACTTTAGAAAATGAACTTAAACAAATGACCATCTACTTTGGCTTAAGGTTTCAGAGGTTTACTCCCTAGGCAGCTGGTTCCACTGCTTTTTGGCTTGTGCAAAGACAGGAACAGGGTAGTGGAAGTGTGTGGTAGAGAAATGTTGCGCACTTCAGGTCAGGAAGGAAACAGGACTAAGAACACACTCAGAGAGCCTGTGCCAGCAAGATTCCTCCTTCTGTGCTTGTTCCATCTAGACCACTCCCCTATTGTTGGGGCCACCCATATTCAGAGCCAGGTCTCCCTGATCTGTTTGCTGTCTCATGTGCCAATCGCAATGGCTAACCACCCTGGTTTTTGCTCTTTTCCTTTTCCTTTTCCTTTTCTTTTCACTTTGTGATCATCTTGCATTTAGTAGGAGCCTCAAATTGTGTCTGCCACCCAGATTGCAAATATGTCCTGTAAGGTTGCTGTTTATCTTTGAACCATATTTAGAATATTTACCTGAGGATTTTAAAAGTCCTATCTCTTCCTTATTAATTCTGAATTTTTGTGATTCAGATGATAGTGTACTCTATATGTCCTTCACTCTGCCACAAGAAAGTTTAATGAAAGAATTTGGAATTTTAACTTTAAGAATGTCGGTAGCTTTAAAATGAAGTTCATTCTGTGGGTCTTTCAATCAAGGCATTTTTTCTTAATATTTTTGTCAGGTTTTGCACCCGTGTAGTAGCACTTATTTGTACAATGTCATGGTTTCTCGCTTACTTCTTGAATATGGTGACTTCATTTCCCATCTTTAGTTTTTCTGGAGTATATTGCAAAGTAGTAATTTTTTTCCAAAAATATTTGAACTCATGACATTTTTTACCAATCTCCTGTGTAATAATTGATACACCATATCAACTTGAGCATCTAAACACTTAACTAAGTGACTGCAGTTCTAGTTATTGGGGGATAGAAGACATATCTTTACTGTTCTAGCATGTCGTTGTATCAATTTAAGACGTGCAGAAATTTTAGTGATTTATCAGGGCTCCAGGGTTCTCATTTTATAAACATACCGGACCTGTGCAAGAGGATGGCACAGAGATGTTGTGAGTTGCATACTCACCCAGGCGTGGATACCCTGCTTACAGTAAAAGGGAGAAAAAGAGTATTACTTCTCCCTCTTATTTGCTCTTTTTGCTTTTGCTGACTTGTGCTGCTTTGAAGCATTGCTCCTATGCTATGCTATTGTCTTGGAGGGAGCTGATTATAAAGTGAAACATTCACAAACTCTGAGCTAAACGAACCTGTCCTTCCATAATTTTGAGTGTGGGGTATTTTGTCTCAGCAATGAGAAAAAAGTAACCCAGATAAACTGCTTCTTAGACATGTGTTTAGTTTACTAACCTAGAATGTGATAACTGGACATAGAAATTAAAATTGAAAATAACTTTATTAACTCTTTTTAAGATATTCATTTATTGTTCATAGCATTCAATGTTGAATGTGAGAAATTATAAGCAGTATGATTCTTTTACACTGGTATGTATCTCCTTTCTATTCTTGAATCTCAGAAACTTTACCACCATATGCTTAAGACTATCTTTTTCCAATTATTGCTTGAAATGGAAAAATGATACATTGAATGCTTAGGTCTTTGTTTAGCATAAGAAATTTATTTTGTTTCTATTTTGTGTTCTCTACTTTGTTATTTATTTTTGTCTGAAACAGGTATAAAATGAATAATAAATTTTCTGAATTATTAAAATCACTTTCTTTCTGATTGTCTACCTTTTTAAAGGTTTTTTGCAGTGTTCACTCCTGCTATCGGTCAAATTCTCATGATCTTGTAATTTGTAGGGTTTTTCCTAATTTTTTAAACTCATGATAATTAGTATTTTAGTTTTAGTTTTCCAGTTTTGATTTTATGGAGAATTTTCTTATACCAGCAAAGATAATAACTCCTTCTTTTCAGTGCCTCCTTTGTTACAGTTTAATCCTTATTGAAATATTTCCTCTTGTTTTCAGTTATCTGCTGAATCATTTTGGTGCTTTTCTGTCCCTTTTTTAAATCAGGAACTCATTATTTCTTGGATGCTGTCCACTGTAATACGTGTGGCTGCTGATGGAACAGAAATTTTGGTGACTCGCTTACTTGGAGTACTCCATTTCTTCTTTTCTTTGTAGATAATTTACCAGTATATCCCAAGTGGCCTCTCCTCCTGCAAATTTGCCTCTAAATATTCTAACTTCTCCATCTTTGGCCAAATAATACATCTGTACAACTGTCCGTTTCTGTAACAACAATGTAAAATATCTTTAGGACAGACACCACAATTTATTCATATTTCTGTTTCTGTCTCAGGACACTATACATAATAGAAGTTTAAAGAATGCTTGAATTGCATGACTAAATGCATCAATGGCTATCTTTCCCTCAATTCAGGAAGATTTTTCTCCCCACTTTTCTTTTCAATGCAGTCTATTCTTTTCCAATTCTTCATTAAAATTCTGACTCAGTAATATTTCCAAACAATTCAATTGGGTTTTTTTTTTAGTTTCTAAAATCTACTCTATTTTTTTCTAAATCCAAAAACCTGTGTGGTGTTTTATATTCTTTTAAAAAATATCTATTCTATTTATTACTAGTTCTACACCAACTTCCCTGTAACTGGTTTAATATACATTGAGTTACAACTCAATTAAATTGGGTAGTGTTAAGAAAGTAACATATTTAGGAGAACTTTGGAGTTTCAAGTAAGCAGGCGAGTGCACACTGTCCCCTGAGCACAGTCTATTTTGGACCCTCACACCATGTGGGTGCAAGGGAATGGCTGGGCGGGTCTGGGGTACCTGCATCTGCCTCCCTGTAAGTCTGGAGGACTGTGGATTCCTAAGCAAGCAGGTGAGCATCACCAGTTCCAGAGGCCCCAGGGCCTGCAGTAAGTGCCCAGTGCACTCCCCCAAGTCTAGCCTGTTTGGGACCCTGAAGCCTTTCCAATGCAGTGAAGTGGCTAGGTGGGTCTCAGGCACCTACATCGGCCTCCCTGTTCTGGCTGAGCTCAGAGAACTTTGGAGTTTCAAGCAAGCAGGCAGGCACACACTGTCCCCTGAGCCTAGCCTACTTGGGACCCTCACACTGTCTGGGTGCGGGGGAGTGGCTGGGAGGGTCTGGGTCAGCTGCATCTTGCATCCCCATGTGTCTGGAGGATTGTGGACTTCTAAGCAAGCAGGCAAACATCATCAGTTCCAGAGGCTGTGCAGCCTGTGGTAAGTGCCCAGTGCACTCTCCCTCAAGCCAAGCCTGTTTGGGATCTTGGAGCCTTTCAGGTACAGTGAAGTAGATAGGCAGATCAGAGGCTCCTACATTCACCTCCCTGCTCCAGCCATGCTCTGAGAACTGTGGAGTTCGAAGCAAGCAGGTGGGGGCACACTGTCCCTGGAGCCCAGCCTATCTGGGACTGTGGAGTTCTAAGCAGGCAGAGGAGTGCCACAGGTTCCAGAGGCCCACGGGCCTGGGGAAACCAAGTGCCAGAGTCCCAGGAGCTGTGAATATAGAAGTGGATTCCCAACAGATCCTGAGGAAGTTTTGAATAACACTTGAAACACAGAAATATAGGAAAAAACAAAACAAAAGACCAAATTACAACCTCAAACCTCCATCCCATCTCAAGAAATCCTAGGAGTGATGTATATAGAAGGAAATATATGCCATACACCTCAAATATTGGGCATAATAGCCACTGAAATAAATAAGCAACTCCAGGAAGCTTTAAAGGAATTCAATCTTGAAATAATTTCCCAGGTAAAAGAAGAAATGATAAAAGAAATGAAAGAGATGCTGAATATATCTAAAGAAGACACAGTTAAAAAATTGGAGGAACTAAAAAAAAAGATAGAATCCCTAGATGAGCAATATAAGAAACAAACAGAAAACATAAAGCAGATGCAGAGATTTACAGGAAATTCAAAAACTCCACTGAAAGCTGTAAAGACTGCCTCAATGAAAGTGAAGATAGAATTTCAGACCTTGAAGACAGGATTGCAGCTAGTGAACAGGAAAGGAAAGATGTTTTAAAAATAACAAGGAATCAGGAAATAACAACTCAACAACTGCAAGATGATGCAAAGAAAAACAACATAAGATTGTTAGGGATTAATAAAAAAGAAGGGGACAACATAAAGGACGTCAAGAGGATATTTAGGGAAGTAATAGCTGAAAATTTCCCAAGCATGAGATCAGAAACCAACATCAGGTTCAGTGAAGCCTGTAGAACTCCAAATAGTCATAACCAAAATAAAACTACACACAGACATATAATAATCACCATCCCAGAAATCCAACACAAGAATAGATTATTTACAGCTGTCAGAGACAAAAGACAGATCAATTATAAAGGAAAATCTATCAGAATCATAGCAGACTTCTCAGCACAAACAATAAAGTCAGGAAGAGCATGGAGTGAAGTATTCCAGATCCTAAAGCAAAATGATTTCCATCCTAGACTCATGTACCCTGCAAAACATCAATGCTGAAATAAGACTTCCATGACAAAGAACAGCTGAAGAACTTCATGAACACGAAGCCAACACTGCAAAAAATATTGAAAGACAGTTTAGATACACAAAGGAAAAAACCACTAAGCAAAGCAGATAATTAAACAGAACAGAAAGATAAAGATGCAACAGCAGAAGATAACATGTCAACAATAAACCAGCATATAACAGTTATAAACATTAATATAAATGGTTTCAATGCACCAATCAAAAGAAACAGACTGGCAGAATGGATTAAGAAACAAAATCCAACCATATGCTGTTTACAGGAAACCCATCAAACCCAGAAGGATACTCACAGACTGAAAGTCAAAGGATGGAAAACAATACTTCACACAACAGGAATTCAAAAAAAAAAGCAGGAGTAGCCATTCTGTTTGCATACAGTGTGAACTTTAAACCAACAAAGACCATAAAGGACAAAGAAGGTCACTACATACTCGTTAGGGGAAAACTCGAAGAGGAAGAGATAACTATCTTAAATATATTTAAGATTAAATAAATTCCAGAGCACCCAGTTATATAAAACAACTATTAACAGAAATGAAAAATCAAATTGTCAGTAACACAGTTGTAACAGGGGACCTTAACATACCATTTACCCCAAGAGACAGATCAACCAGACAGAAAATGAGCAAAAAAAAATAACAGAACTGAATCACACTGGTGAACAAAAGGACTTGATAGACATATACAGAATGTTCCACCCAACAACATCAGAATACACATTTTTCTCAGCAGTACATGGGTCATTTTCTAAAATAGACCATATATTAGCTCACAGAACATATTTAAACAAATACAAAAGAGCTGAAATCATCCCTTGCTTGTTATCCAATCATAGCACATTGAAATTAGAAATTAATGATAAAAGATACTGCAAAAATCCCACAAAAACATGGAAACTAAATAACACACTCTTGAGTAATCAGTGGGTCAAGAGGAAATTAAAGAAGAAATTAAACAATACCTACAAGAAAATCAAAATACAGATACAACTTACCAGAATCTGTGGGATGCAATGAAAGCTGTCCTCAGAGGAAAATTTACTTCACTGAGTTCCCATATCAGGAAAACAGAATGAATACAAATAAATAACCTGGTGCTACACCTCAAACAGTTAGAAAAAGAAGAGCAAGTCAAGCCCAAAGCCAAAAGAAGAGAGGAAATTATAAAAATCAGAGCATAAATCAACGCAACAGAGACTAAGAAAACAATGCAAATATTCAACGAATCAAAAAGTTGGTTCTTTGAAAGAATAAATAAAATCAATAAGCCCCTAGCCAACCTTATTTAAAAAAGGGAAGAAAAAGCTCAAATTCATGCAATAAGAAATGAAAAAGGTGAAATCACTACCGACTCTACAGAAATATAGAAGATCATCAACACCTATTTTGAAAACCTCTACTCTCAAAGGTTTGATAACACAGAAGAAATAGATAGATTCCTAGAATCATGTGAAGTACCAAAGCTAGATCAAGAGGATGTAAAACTGTTGAATAACCCAATCTCTATTAATGAAATTGAAAATGTAATTAAGTCCTTACCTACAAAGAAAACCCAGGCCCAGAGGGATTCACTGCAGAATTCTACAAGAAATACTAAGAAGAACTAATGCCGACACTCCTCAAACTATTCAATGAAGTTGAAAGGGAAACAATCCTTCCTAAGTCATTCCTGGAAGCAAATACTACTCTAGTACCAAAACCTGAGAAAGACTCAACTAAAAAAGAGAACTATAGACCAATCTCCCTAATGAACACAGATGCAAAAATCCTTAATAAAATATTGGCAAATAGGATGCAGCAAATCATCATGAAGATCATACACCATGACCAGGTGGCATTCATCCCAGGCATGCAAGGATGGTTCAACATACATAAATCAAGAAAGGTGATCCACCACATCAATAAAGCCCCACCAAACTATGACTCTTCTATTGCCATTGGTTTTATCATGTTGCATCTTGCTTTTATTATATGTGATAGTATAAATAAAAATTGTTATAGGCAAAGAGATAATATAGAAACCATTGTTCATTTTCTGTTAGCTGGTTCTAAATACCCTACAATGCTTTCATCCACTTGAATGGTTTTACACTGTCTTGATATGGTTGATGCTGTAGTATACGAGGTTATATTCAAATATTTCAAGGAAAAAGACACTATGGTAACTACTATTAAGTTGGGTTATTTGGTGATGAAGCATTAGGTTGCTGAAATTGTCATGCTTTGACCTGTATTGTTATGGTGTTATGTCCTCTTTAATCTCAATCTCTCCCTTTTTTATTAAAAAATTATTTAATTAGTTTTATTACTTTTTTAATTAAGGGGAAAATCAAAAAATGAACAGGATATATTATAGTAACTTTTTTGATTTCCTATTAACTTGATCTGAAGTCCTGTAATACTCCTACTATCTTGTTTTGACTGATTAGACTCTGTTCCAATCTGTATGATAGTATGAAGTTTGAGGGTACAGGCAACTACTTTGAAGGCAAAAAGATTCACTATGATGTCCATTCTGGTTTGACTGTTATCCTCTTTTGAAGTCCTGTAATGTTTACGATGTTTAAGTTTTATTGGTCTTGTTCTCTACTGTTTAGTTCAACTTTATAATACCTAATGAGATAGACAATTCTTCTTAAGGAAGCAAGAGGCATTATGGTAACCATTGTTGATAACCTTGTACTCTGTTTTTACATCATGTGCTATGTCTATCCTTGGTTTTGACTGACAGGTTTGTTTTGTCATATTTGATTTTATTGTCTTCCAAAGAAAAAAAAGTAGTAAGAACTATGGAAGTAATAAAACCAAAAATGGGTAAATTTTGTTGTAATAAAGAGAGCAAAAAAAGTGCTCTAAAGGGTACAACTGCATGTGTGTTTAGGTGTGTTAAATAGATGACCATATTAATGTTTTTGATTGGATCATTGAACACAACTGTTTGCACTCTCACTGTTTGAATGTCCACTTTGTATGTTTTGATCCTGTGACTTGACCAAATATCTCTAAGATGATAATGTGTAATCTATTAACTGGTGATTTCTTACTTTTTTTTTTTGTAGTTCTGTATTACTTGTACCCTTACACTGTTTTGTTTTTTCTCTTTTTACTTTTAAATAAAATAAAAAAAAGAAAGTACCATTTTTGTCCTCAATTTGGATGTATTTAGGCCTCTAGTTTTATTGGCTGCAAAATTGGGCTCAGTCACTATTGTCTGAGATGGATCATGCCAATATAACTTTGTTCTGTTTCTAGGAAGTTTGTTTGTGATCGTGTTTGTAAGTTACTTTGGATCTAAACTACATAGACCGAAGCTAATTGGATTAGGTTGTGTTGTAATGGGAGCTGGTAGTATTTTGACTGCTTTACCTCATTTCTTCATGGGACGGTAAGTGTTAAACAGCTCTGTGCTGTTCACCCTCATTGTCATGTGCTTTAGCATACTCTTTCATTTTATTACACTTAAATGGGCAGTTCTTTATTTAGAGTTCTCTATATCCATATGTATCTTTGAATATAAATGGATATATTTTGTATGTAACAATCAATCATTGTATTCATCATAGCTTTCATAGCTTTATATGTACATAACACTAAATAAAGTATAGTTTTATAAGAAATAATCTCATTATGACTCTTTTGGTTTAACAATGAAGTTCATGTCTTTTCTTCTACTTTTATTTTAAAGAGGGTAAAATTAAACAGTACAAAACAGAACAAAACAGAGCATAAGGAAACAATTTTAAGAAACACAGCTTTCAAAGTAAGACTAGTGAAGATGTTCACTGTCTCTCATATTGTCTCTTGTTTTCTTCCAAACAGTTGTACACATCTTTACACACAGTGAATACATACTGAACAATATAGTGCTAAAATAATCAAAACAGGATGATGAAGGCATTTTGGGTCTATCTATACGTTTGTAGAAATTAAACATAAGAGACTAGCCTAATATCACTCTGAACATTGAATAATAGTATTGCTAGATTTTATATCATAAAGCTACAGAATTAGCACTGGGTATCATACTATCTCTCCTTCAGAGTATGTTTATGGAGCAAACTTCAGAGCAGTTTATGGGAACAGATTATATAATGCACGATGTTCATAACATCATAACATCGTGCATTATATAATCTGTTCATAACATCATGCATTATATAATCTGTTCATAACATCATGCATTATATAATCTGTTCCTGTAAACTGCTTAGAAATTCTACACGTGTGAATATTTACATGTATACCTATGTTTTCTGTATTGTAGGGAAATACAGATCAAAACAAGACAACAAAAAAATTCCTAGAAAAACACAAAATGAAAAAGACATATAAAACCACAATACTATGTGATCTACTAGGTTCCTATGCTGTCTCTTGTTATTTTCAATAGAATTGCCTACATCATCAGGCATAATATAATTGAACATATCATTACATAGCAATTTCATCTTCAGAAATGTCCTGCGCAACTCCAATATGTCCTCCAGCTGGCCACACCCTCTGTGGACCCAATTTCCAGCACTCACTGTGAATTAATACAGCTCTCCACCTTGGCTCCACTCTATGCTGTGCTGCATGCTCCCACCAAGGACCCTGGACTCATCAACTCCCAGTTTTTGTACCCGCAACTTCATTGCAACCGTAAATTATCTGACTCCATGGCTTGCCAGCACAGTGTGGGACTGGACCCAGTGAGTGTGTCTGGTTCCAGGCTTTCATCCATGTTGTTCCTTCCTTTCTTTCTTTTTCTTTTTCCTCAGTTTCTTCCTGGATCATGAGAATATCCCTGCTTTCATCTGGTCTTCTCAATGATGTTATATTCTAATATTTGAGTTGTTTTTCTCAGAGAGGCTCTCTACCTTGCTACCTATCCAGCCGCTATTTTGAGACCCGAAGTTCATGTCTTCTGATGTGAGACATAAATTGCACTCCAGAAGACTTTACCAATCAATGCCCTGAGGTGTGGAGTTTCCCATTTCCTCCAAGGCCATTCTTTCTGAGGTCACTGTGTATCTGGGATTAGAATCAGATTCACACAAGTAAGAATGTAAAATAGTAACTGCTCACATAAGATTGAAGCTTAGTCTTCACCTCACAGTTAACATGAGAAGCTGCCTCATATTTGCTGCTGCTGCTTATTTGCTTCATCTTGTTCTGCCTCATGTTGTTGTTGGTCCAGGAAGCAGGAGCTAAGCAGAGAACACGAAGAAGAAGCATAGAATGTGCACAGGATGAGTACTGGGAGGTATTTCAGAAGTGTAGCACCTGCATCAACTTCACAATGCTTGCAAGTTAGCTCTAATTCACACACAGAGAGAAAGAGATTTTCTGATGGCCACATTCCCACCAAAAAATCAGCTTCCACTACTATTGAATGAGAGCAGAATGTGCATTGATAAGAAAGAGGCATTTGTGCCAGAGAAAAGTGCTTACTGCTGTAGCAACAATAACTCCTGTTGCTCTCCATGTTAACTTGCATATTTCTTCACTTGATTTCTATATGAGCTTTACTCTGTGACACTAATTCTCATTTTTAGACTTAGATGCATCTTCACAGCTGTGCTTAATTTGCAACCACACTTGAATGCTTCAGATGCAATGTGTCATAATCACATATGTTCTGCATTTGAAACTTTGAATGCTTATCCTTTCGATGTACCTTTGAAACTTCTGCCCATCATTAAAAATTGTCTTACATGTGATTTTCACATTAGTAGTTGAGTCTATAATACTACTTACCATCAAAGAAAACTAATTAACCCTTTTTAAAATGGCAATCAAGAGCCTTGTATAATAACATTATATTTTTATCATGTGTAGTTAATTTTGAAAGTGTGAAATTCCCTAACTACAAAAGCTGTTTGTTTATTTCCAATTTTTTGAAGTGGTGCCTAATGACTGGCATACAGTTTAACTGTCACTGGTGTTACAGGAAACTTCAAAATTTTTGTATGTCAGCATTTGCCCCTAGTCTAACTCCATTTCTGCTAATCTTATTAAATCCTCCTTCATCAAGTTAAAGTGCACATTCAAAGTTTCAAGTGTACTAGATTTTTGTATATTTTTGAAGAATTGAATATTAGAGGGTATCTATCAATGTAGAAAAGCAAATTAGGTTGTTGACAGATAATGTAATGAATCAGTATGAAGTATAGATTGAAGAATCCTGCTCTGAAGTTTTTAAAATATTATCGCACATCTTCATACAGTTCGGTTTGTGATCTTCTTTGCAATTAATTCAGAGGTTCTAGAGTTTACAAGCTGCTTCTTGTCTTTATCAGAATATAACCAGGATGAGAACAAGACAACAATTTTCCCAGCAAGGAGAGTTTTCTTAGTGAATACTAAAGTTTCACTTGCATTCAGTATCTCTCCTAAAACATAGGTTGGAAGATTGCTATAAGGATTATGATGATTTGGAGAGGTAGGAAGTATTAACACAACAAAAAATACCTCATGTTTTTTTGTAAAATAAAATATGTCACAGATTAAAAAATAAGAAAAATATTTTATGTATTTATTTTTTTGCTTTATTGAGTAGGGTCTGTCTTTTAACTACTACATATATATATATATCCATATATATATATTATATATATATGATTGACTATACTATATATAGTAATTTTATATACATATATATATTTCTTTTCCCTTTTCCTTCCAATTTCCTACATGTATAAAGTTTATTTTTTAAAATATTCCTACCAATTTCACGATATCTATGATACATTTTAGATCTTATTTACTTATTCAGCTTGTCATACTGGTGAGGTGATATGATGTTTATACATACACTATATGTTTTACGTGTAAGTCTGATTCATTTCACCTAGTATTATGGTCTCGAGTTGCATCTGTTTACCTAGAAATGTCTGAAGTTTATCTTTCTTTATAGCTCAGAAGTACCCAATTATATAAAAAAAGTCAGGTTTTCATATAAAAACCACATTGTTGCCTGTTTTAAAACTGTTTTATTTGATTTTTTCTCTTTATATTAAAATAAATTTCAAAACAATTTAAAGGTAACAATGTTTTCACAGGTACAGGTATTCAACAGAAACCCATGTTAATAATACTTCAGAGAATTCACTATCCACTTGTTTTATTAATCAAACTACATCAGTCAGTGAAACATCCGAAACAGTGAGCAAAGGTAAGAATTAAGAGTAATTGTAAAAGTCTTCTAAAATTTAAAACTTTCATAACAAATGACACAGTGCTGTACCCCAGAGCTCACAGATGGCAAGGATTAGAAGAATATGATCATGCATTGGTTGATTGTAAGAAAGCTAAGGAGTTGATACCAGAAGAAAAAGCTATCAGACAAAGAAAAATACTGAGAAGGCAGTGTGTGCAAAAGTGTTCCCATAACACACTGTTACGGGGAACTTTTGCCTCTGTATTTTGCACAAGATGTTTAAGGCAATAATACATTGTAAGAGTTCTGTCTACACGTGAGCCCTGTGTTTCCTTTTACACTTCAGTCCTGCATTGTTAACAGTTTAGAAATGCTGATACTTTTCCTCCATAAAAAATATTCCCAAATCCCAGTGAAACTGATCTTTTTTAACTGTTTTCAGGACTTTCACAGACAATGGTGCCCTGCCTATTTTTAAAGTCCTGAGTCTTAAATTCTTCAATGCATAGTTTCAAGCTTAAAATTATATAGTTTTCCTAAGCCCTAATATGTGTTAAATTTGTTTTGATTTTTATATTTGGAAATAATACACAGAATGCATATTGAGTGTCTGGCATACTTTGCTGTAAAGAGCCAGATAGTTAAATATTTAGGTTTTGTGGATCATCTAGTTTATCACAACTACTCAGCTCTGCAGCTGTAGCACAAGTGTGACTCAAAATGAGTCACTGATTATGTGTAAGCAATAGATGTGACTGTGTTTCTGTAAAACTTTGCTAATAAGTATGTATGGTTGACTGAAATTCTTATTCAATAGGGTACCATGCACTAGTTAGAATTCTTGTATCAAAGACAACACAAAAGAAACATATGGTGAGTCTGTTATAAAACAGTGTTATAAAAGCAGATTTTAATATGAACTGAATATGTAAGTCTATAATACATATTCTTGTATATACAAGTGCGTATTATATGTATTTTATGTACACTTACATGTGGAAGATACATAACAAACATGTGCCATGACTTTTCCAGTATAGTATAATCTCTGCTGGTTTTACTTGTTTCTTTTTTGTGTGGCACTTTTCTGTAGTTTCGGACTCTACAAAGTGAATGTGAATAACGTAAAATTCGAAAAAACCCAAAAAGTAATATGTCTAGTGTTCCCGATTAATGAAGTTCATGATAAGAATGCTACAGATATTGTTTTAAATAATATACTATCTTGTCTGCATAGGCTGTGAGAAGGAATCTGAGTCCTACATGTGGATCTATGTCCTGATGGGTAACATACTACGTGGAATAGGGGAAACCCCTATAACACCACTAGGAATTTCTTATATTGATGACTTTGCAGAAGAAGGACAGTCCTCTCTATACATAGGTAATGCACAGAAATGTTAAACCAAATGAGAATTCTCTTTGTTTTACCCTAGAAATAACAATGCTACTATTATCACTATTACTATTCTTTTCACCTAGAAAAATTGATTTGGAGAAATGTGTAAAACTACTTCTAAAAACATCTTGTATCAGATTCCTGAATTCTTGAAATCAGATATATTTGTTTTATACTTTTTCAGGTTTTGTGAATTCATCGGGAATTGTTGGTTTAGTCATAGGCACGATAATGGGGTCTCTGTTTGCTAAAATGTATGTGGACATCGGCTATGTAGATCTGAGTAAGTACAATCAGAACAAGGTCACATGACTGAATCACTCAAGTACGTGACACTATTCCACTATTTAATTCAATTCACTCTTCCAATAACCTTTGGTTACTATTTTTCAAATTCACAAATTAGAAAAAAATGCATTCATAACTATAACAAAAGTGGAATTCTGCTCCTACTATATCATACTGTGCAACTAACTGTGTAATGAGAAATTTTTGCTATTTTGTTTTAGGTTACTTCATCAAAAAAAATTTAAAATATTTTTCCTTCAGAACTGGCTCTGCAGCCTGGTAAATTTATAAATCTGGTTCATGGTAGATTGGACATTGAAGTGCAGAATTTAGGGTTTGCTTCACTAAACCTGATGTGAGGCTGCAGGGCTGACTGATAGCTGGAGTAGTGTACTGTGCACTTTGGTGTTTGGTCACTTAGTCTGGTCCTGGAAGAGGCCTTTGCCTGTGGGAACTTTCAGAACATGCCGTGGAGCAAATCAGTGAAGGATTGTTCACATAAGTGACATCATGACCGTCTATGTTAGAGCACTTTCCTTCGTGAATCCAAGAGATAGTGGGCATGATGTGCAAACTTTCTCAAACTGAATGCTTGCTTCCAGCGAATACACCTGTACTACATCTGTTTTCATCTTTCTAGTGGAAAATGTATCCATGTTCAGCTGAGGCAGTGTCTACTACTGGATCTTGGACTCCCCCTTTCTGCCCCTTCCAAGATTAAGTTCCATAAATACTTTGCTGATCCATTCTTCTCCTTGCTCTTTATGTTTTCACCCTCTCTTCATCCTCAAGATAAAACACTTGTGAGTCTCTCTTTTCTTCCTTCCTCCTTCCTTTTTTCCTTCCTTACTTCCTGTCTTCTTTCCTTCCTTCTCTCCTTCTTTCCTTTCTGCCTGCCTGCCTCTCTAACTTTCATGATTAATTTTTCATAAATATATAGATTTAAACAAACATTATGAATGACTTATGTAAAATGGCTTTCAGTATGTATGCATAAACACAAAGATTATAGACTTTTTAAATCGACAGATAATGTTCAGGGTGCTATTCTGTTTTTCTCTTTGGAACCATGCACCTTGAAAAAATAATACAAATGGAAGCTTTTCTTTTCTTTTTTTTTTTTACCTCACACCTACCTCTCAACCATAGTACTGTTAGACTCTGTTCCTCACTCAATGAAATCAGTGTCTACCTAATTTATTTCTAATTTAACATTTTCTACAATTGGTTCCATTGATATTTTCAGTACTTGTTCATATCGTGCTTCTAAGCTGTCATATAAACACCTACAACTCAAAATTCAGGTTCATCGTTTTACCCCCAAACTCACTTTATTTTACATGGTCTATCTCTTGAGGAGTATCTTTAACTTAATTTAAACACTGTGCAAACTTCCTCAAGTTTTTATCTTTCCATCTTCCATAGACAGTTTTGAGGACTGTAGGATTCTTGCTTGAGAGAATTTCTCTTTCAGCAGTTTGAGTACATCTTTGCATTCTATTCTGGTCTGTAAGATTTCAACTGAAATAAAAATGAAGAGTTTATGAAGTGAAATCTCTTTGATGTGCCCATGGCTTCACAAATGGGTCATGGGTTCTGGTTAATGAGGTTTTTTTTTAAATACTGGGAATCAAACTCATCACCTTGTGCTTGCTAAGTGGGCACTTACACCACTGAACTATATCCCCAGGCTCTGGCTTATCTGTTCAGTGGTGTAGATTTTGGAAAATGATTATATCATGAAGGATGTTGCTTCATTGATTGATTGATCCATTTATGGGTCCATAATTTGATGGAATTATTGGGAGGTGATAGAAATTCAGGAGTGGAGCAATTGCAGGTAGTGGGTCATAAGAATGAGACCTTGGAGGACATCTGTTTCTTTTGCCTCTGTGAGTCTTCGTTCTCTAGTTACCACCAGGAGGTACGCAGTTTTGCTTCACCACAACGTTTTGCCATGAAATTCAGCCTCACTAGAAACCCCGAACAGGAAGCTGACCATGGACTGTGCCTTGCTGTACCATCAGTTTATCTGTTGCTGAGAAGACAGTTTATGGCTTCCTCTTCTGCCACCCTGCTATTGCTTCATGTGTTCTCTCCTAATACTTAGACTACTTTAAACTTAACAAAATAGTTGTTTTTCACTTGATATATAGCACTAACATATCACTGTGGAATGATTTCAGGAGAAATATTGCATAAAGAATGTGGCTAAATATAATTTACATTTTGAGTCTAACTTTTCTAAATTGCTTTTAAACTCATTTTCATTGTGTATAACTTTCAGCAGCTTCAACCTTTGTGTTGACAACAGAGTCATAAATGTAGGTTTCTGGGTTGGAAGAAACCTTTTTAGTGGCTCTGAGGTTTTCCTGAAAACTACTGAAAGTTTCATTATTGTACTTTCTTGACTTCAGCAGATGGTATTGATAGATGTTTTCAGAGAATGATAAGAATTCACAGTTTCCATGGGTTTAAAATAGCTTTCAGGTGTGAACATCCAATGTAAGAAGATTATCAGTGATGTTTACAAAAAGCCATAGAGTTTATGTACAGAAGCTCAGACTGTGTCAATTACATCATGACTGATTCCTGAATAACAGATTTTTTTTTAATGTCATCAGATGTTAGACTTGGTCCAGTTTCAGAGGTGATGAAATATGATAAGAAAGTCATACCTTAGGACTGAGGTTGACTTTGTTCTTCTATTGAGCAAAACAGTTATTATCAGTTTCCCATATCTTATGTTATTGAGGGATGATTTTTGACTGTTTGCTAATTATTTATTCTAGGCAGCATCAAAATAACTCCCCAAGATGCCCGTTGGGTTGGTGTTTGGTGGCTTGGTTTCCTTATGTCTGGACTGCTGTCCATTATTTCTTCCATACCATTCTTTTTCCTACCTCGGAGTCCAGATGAACCACAGAAACCAAGAAGCAACATTTCAACATCTTTGCGGGGACTCAAGACAGACAAACAAAACAATCAACCAGCTAACTTGACCGATCAAGGTCAAGGTATTTCTATGACTGGTAAGTATTTTACATTCATAACCTATATGGAAGTGTTAATACCTGTGAGAAGGAGTGAATATTCCAAAATAATGACACATCAAAGTGTTCAGGAGCTGGCTCTTTATGTGGTAAATTTACCTGTTTATGTTTCTAAAACTCCTATTAAATGTAGTATATGTTTCCCTGGTATTGAGCATTTGAATAGAAATAGGTTGTCACCTTTCTTTGGAGAAAACAAGCAAAAACTAAAACACATATTACACACTAACCAGAATATGTATTCATTTCATAATTATCTAACAGCACATTAGTGAGAGCTAAATGTACTATAATACTTCACTAATTCTCTTAAGGAGCAGATTGCACAGGTGCTGTACTATGCCCTAGTGATAGTAGATTGTCTCTGTTTTCCAAGAATTTTCATACTTTCCAAGAATTTGGTTAGTGTTGAGAAGAACAGACACAGAGACAGTTACAATAAATTAGCTTAATGTCCTTGGGCTCAGGTTAAACTTCATTCTTAGGCATAGACATGGAGTCAGAAGGAAGTCCCAAAATTTTTCTGAAACTCTAGTAGGTACTAAAAATAAAATTACTTTTAGTGGAAATTTTCCCAAAGAAAAGTTTCCTTGTTCAAATGTTCCAATGTTCAAAATAAAGTAGAAGCACAGACACAGTTAAAATACTGCAGTGATTAATTTGAATTAGGATGTTCACTCTTTGCTAGCGCCTTCTTTCTAATATAAGGTCTACACACCAATGGAAAACTACTAAGAAGCCATGATCCCCAGCAGCTAGAGGAAAAATGGTTAAAACAGTGAGTTATCAAAAGTACTTCTGATATGGGAAAAGTGGGTGAAATACTAAAAGACTAAGCATGCCCTGGTTAACCTTGGGCGATGTTTTCTAATTCATATTTCATGGCTTTGTACATTCTCAATTACTGCCCTCATCTGGCCTCCTATCAGCAATTTAATTTACTCCCTTTATTTTTTCTCCAAAATTCAACCCTGGAACAATGATGTGTTAGAGACAGTCTGTACTGTCTCACCAAAAACAACTATGATGCTTTCAAGCATATTAATATCTTGAAATTGTTCATCCCAGAAGAATTTATCACCAGTTTTGCTGTGGAAATAGGGAAATACTATGAAGCAGGACTTGTTTCCCTGAGTGTCATTTGTTACATATTTATCAGCACATGACTGAAGTAGCAGTTTTTGAAAGTTAACACACACATTAATAAGAACATATGCAAGAACTTTTATTTTTTATATTATGTGAGCTTCCTTATTTTATAAACTTATAGGACAAATTAGGAATAAATAATGATCATATTCACCTAAGGGAGTTTGTACCTGTATGTGATATTTATTTTTTTTTTACATGACACTTATGGTTCCTGTTTGTTTTCTCATTCTCCACCCCTCCATTGAACCCTTCTTCCTGTTTATTAATTTTCCATTTTATTCTTAAAATTTTGTCTTTTCCCATCTTTTGTTTGCTTATCTCCCCTTCTTAGCGCTGTCTCTTAATTTTGGAAATTTAAATGGGTACAAACTTATTATAATGTTGGCCTTATTTTTCATTCTTTGCTACTACTGCAATTTAACCTTGTGTCACAAGTTAGTAGCTGAGTTTTCTTTAGATGTCATATATATATATATATATATATATAAATTTTTTCCTTTAAAATTTTTATTATATTGGTAAATTTTAGATACACACAATAACATTCAGCATAGGGAATTTGTACATATAAATGATATATATTTTGGGTATATTTTTGGTTTTGGGAATCAAACTCATGATCTTTTGCTTGCCAGGCAGGCACTGTATCCCTGATTTATATTTCCAGCTCTTGCATAGTACAACTTTTTTCTCCCCACTTTCTTATCTGCCCTTTGACTCCTCCTTTTTATTTAAAGAGAAAAAAAAACAGAAAAAGTGTAAAAGTAATACAGAATTTCAAAAAAAAATAAATAGAAAGAAATCATTAGTTAATAGATTACATGTTTTCATCTTAGAAATAGTTGTTCAAGTTACAAAATTAAAGCATACAAAGTGGACATTGAAACAGTGAGATTGCAAACAGTTCTGTTCAAAATCTAACAATAACTTAGTAACATGGTTATCTATCTTACACACTTAAATGTGCATGCAGTTATACCCTTTAGAGCACTTTCCTTTCCTCTATTTTTTACACATATAACAGTTACACATTTTGAGTTTTATTACTCCCACAGTTCTTATTACTTTTCTTGAAGAGAATAAAACCAAATGTGAAAAAACAAAACAAAGTTAGTCAAATCAAAAGGGTGGACATAGCATATGATGTGAAAACAGAATACAAATTGATCCACAATGGTTAACATAATGCCTCTTCTATCTTAAAAAGAATTGCCTATATCATCAGGTATAATAAAATTGAACAAAACAGTGCAGAACAAAACCAATAAAACTGAAACATTGGAGACTTGCAGGACTTCACAAAAAGATAATAGTCAAACCAGAATGGGAATCATAGTGAATCTTACTGTCTTCAAAGTAGTTGCTTATACCCTCTAACTTGATACTGTCAAACAAAACAGAATAGAGTAAAATCACTCAAAACATGATGGTGAGAGCAATACAGGGCTTCAAATCAAGTTAATAGGAAATCAAAATTGTTACTCTAATATATCAGACTATATTTTATTTATTTTTTCCCTTAATTAAAAATAAATAAATAAGTAAATAAAGGAGATTGAGGACGTAACAACACAACAGCACTGGTCACAGCAGAACAATTTAAGCAACATAGTGTTTCACCACAAGATAACCTGACATAACAGTAGTTACCATGGTGTCTCTTTCCTTGAAATATTTGTATATAACTTTGTATACTACAGCATCAAACATATCAAGACAGTGTAAAACCATTCAAGAGCATGAAAGTATTACAGTGTATTTAGAACCAACTAACAGAAAATGAACAATGGTTTCTATATTGTGTCCTTCTTTATAAAAAATTTTGTTTGATCTATCATATATAATGAAATTCAATAAAATACAACATGATAAATCCAGTGGAGACAGAAGAGCAAAAGCTTGATGGGAATTCAAAACAAGATGATATTAAATCAGCACTAGGTATTATGATGTCTATTTTCTTCAAAATAGCTGTTCACAACATCACAATAAATTAAAACAACCTAGAATAAAACCATTCCAAGTAAAGAATGAAAACATTATAAGGCTTCAAATCAATACAATGGGTTATCATGATTACCACATACTTTTATGTATTCCTATCATTACATACACTAGGGAAACTATTTGGTGTTAATACATGTGAGTTTGAATTATTTCACTTATGAGTATGTTCAGGAGTTCTGACTAGAATCTCCTCTACAGAACAGCCTAAGCTGCTCCAGCTTGATGCATCCAAACAACAAGCCAGAACCTTTCTAATGTCTGCCCACAAGCAATTTCCAAAGCCTCTTGATAACCATGGCCAGGTATAGTCACAGCAAACGACCCCACTCCTCGGTACCAAGTTTTGTCTTAGTCACTTTATGCTCCTTGCTGAGGCAAAATACCTGATGTCCAAGTTGGGAAAGGAAAGTTTTATTTCTTACAGTTTTTGGAGGTTTCAGTCCACACTCAGTTGGCTCCAAGACAGGCGGGTATGGCTGGACCGCAGTTCATGGCAGCTGCCCACTGCAAGCTCGAACCAGCAAAGAGCAAGACACACCTTCTTCCTGCCTTATATTACATTTGGCTCCACTGCTATGTGGGTAGAGCATTCACCCCATCAATCCAAGCACTATACAATGAACCATCACAAATGAACAAGGCAAACTCATGAAGCCTGGGGGACACATACATAAACCATGACAGGTGCTTATATCACTGATCTAAATCCACAGTCCTCATTATGTTACATTGGACTTTATTATTTGTGGACCTCAGTGTTCTTATTTTTGTGAATTTTTAATATTCTTACAGTTAATGTTTTAATTTAATAATTATTAATGTAATAGTTATATGGTACTAAATCTGAGATGCATTGCATGATGGATTATCTTGTTCTTCAAACCAGTAGAATGTTGCATGGTACCAAACTGAGCACCAAATTTGGCTGAATGAACAAATACTAAATGAATTAGTATATGTAATATCTAAAATATTGTAATAAGCAAAGATTATAAGTGCAAAACTGGATATAAAACAATGCATATATAGAACTTAATTTTGGGGCAAAATTTGCTAAACCATATATGGAAAATAGCAAAGGAATATAGTTTTAAAACTACTGGCAGTAGTGTTTCAGGAAAGTAACTTTAGGTGTGTATTAATGTATATCATATCATATATTTTACATAACAGTAATGAATATCATAATAACATGTATTTAACTTGCTTTATATTAATAGTGTCTATTTTCATCTTTTTAAGATTTTTTAAGTTCTATGAAATATCTTCTTACCAATCGCCTTTATATTTTGTATGTAATCTTGACATTGATAATGACCAGCCATTTAGTTGGTACAATTACCTATGTGTTTAAAAACCTAGAACAACAGTATGGTGTGACAGCATCTGAGGCTAACTTTTATATGGGTAAGGTACATTTGTTCTTGTTTCTTTGTATATTGAGTAGCTGTGTTCCAAATGGCAATTTATTGTGAATAGAATTTTATATTTCAGCAAAAATTTCCATATACTCTCTTGAACCTTACTGAATACGTCAGTTAGTGTTCCACCCTTGAAATTGTTGCTTATGTTTTAGGAGTTTCTAAAGGAAAAATTGCATGTTGAGTGGAACATTTATACATTGTATCTATATGGTCAGATTTTACACTTTAGTGTTGAGATGCTAAAACAAATTGTTTTAAAATTGGATCAATATAATTCTATAATTCATGGATTTTTGAAATTAGAACTGAACTACTTACAAAACAGGCCACTGATTTTTTCAAAAGAGCAACTACTGTAAATAAACCATTAAACTAAGCATGATTTTAAATAAATTCTTATTTTAGAATTTTATATTATAATACCTACATATAATAGCTTATGGAAACCGATTATTTAAAAAGTTAATAAAAATACTGTAAATACTAAGCATTTGATGAACTAAATATATATCAAGTGATACGTAACTATATCATATGTATATAAAAATGAATAATGTGAAAATGATTTTCTTAAAATATTGCCTCAGGTTATATAATTCTCTGATTGAACTTAATATAAAGTTTAACTGTCAAGGTTAGGTTTTGATTTCCTGTAACTCAGCTAGATTTTTTGTTAGCGGAGTCTTCTTTAATTGCTTTACAGGGGACTGAAATAAAGTTACAAAGGAATCCAACATTTTAAATACCATATATAGTTCTGCGTGTTAATTTGTATTAACAAATATGGAATGCATACTAATTCAAATACTTAATTCTAGAGAATGAAAGTTGTGCTAGATTTTAAGTGCCAGGACTCTTTATTTTGAAAAGGCAAAGGATTTTAAGTAACAGAAACAATTCACATAAGGAGAAAGATTATGCATTTTTGTGATTTTTTGGGATGATATTAAACACTTATTCAGACACAAATATTGTCTATTCATTGCCTTTGTAATTAAAGAAGGCAACTCCTCATTTTTGGCTGGAAGAAATTACTTTTATCTCTCCTACATTGTTTCTTTTTTTCTTAATTTTGACCTGCAATGCTTCCACTTTGGGAAAAAAATGAGTAAATGAATTGTGTTGATATACACTGTGTGTATATGTAAAGGTGTATTAGAAAAGCTATACTAATATATTTACAATGTTTCTCCCTTGTGTTTCTAGGAGTCATAGTCTTACCTACTGTGGCGATTGGAATATTTCTAGGAGGATATCTTGTTAAAAAACTGAAATTATCCATAGTTGGAATTGGCAAATTCGCAATATTTACTTCATCCATGAGCTTATTTATCCACGGAGTATATTTTCCTATTTTATGTGAAAGCAAATCGGTTGCTGGCTTAACTTTGACCTATGATGGGTTTGTATAATCATTTAATATGTTAAGCAATGAAGAGACTCTGGGAAATTAGAGGAGAAAACGATTTTAATTAAAGTTTGACTTAACTTTTACTTTTGAATTTTTTACTTTTACTTATAAATTTGCACACTTTATATTTCTTGCAACCTAAAGGTTTGGTTTTTATTTCTACTTTAAAGCAGGTTGTAATAATGGTAACTTATTTGCCAGGGTGGTTGCAGTGAATGGTGGGTACCTTTTCCCTCATTTTATACATATGAGAATTAAGGCTTACAAAAAACCACAAATTATATACTCCAAAATATCATAACATACTGTGAAAGATTCTTCTTCACATTTAGGAATTTTACTCCAAAAGTTTTAGTCTTCAGCACTGATCCTAAATCTCTTAGTCATAAGTTCTAAACTGGGATGGTAATGATTGCAATATAGATGATAGTCTCCAAAGTGAGCGACGATTATCTACAGTTCTCTTTGGAATTTAAAAACTATATATGAGAACATGTCCTGACACTTTTCTGAATTGTTTATTTATGAAAAGTAATACTGTCAAATGAAGTACAATTTCATTGTAAATATAAATACTAAACAAGCTACACAAAATTTCATATTAGACTTTGAAAATCTTTGCTTATTCACTGCTATTACATAGTATCAAGTATTCTTAGCACTGAAGTCTACCCTAAATCAAAAGATGTACTATGATTACAAGATGAGATCTGCTGATTACAGCTAGCATCTTAAGGTTAGTAGTTTCTTACCGAAGCAAAGTTCCTTGGATGACAGGTCAGTAACCATATCCGTTAGTGTTATTTACTCTTAAGCTCTGAGTTTTCAAACTTTAGGATCTCTAAGGTGTCAATTCTAATGTTACAATCTTCCCATGTTTCTTTTGTCAGTCTTTATCATACTCTTGCAGATTTTGTCATCTAATTCTAATTTATCTTTCCACTTGTTTTTATTGCTGACAGTCTTGATTATTCCCATTCACTGTGCTTTAGTAAATCATGACAGCAAAATGTTGGATTCTAGAGATTGAAAGAACATTAGAGACCATACAAGCCAACTCTCCTATACTCCTTTCTTTATTATTTACAAGCAAGATAACGTACTCCCCTCTTCTCTGTTTTTTCCCTCCTCTCTCTTCTGTTCCTCTATCTCCCTCTTTTCTATTTTTATATCCATCTCTTATTTATTTTCAGACTTAATCCAGTGACATCTCATGCAAATGTACCACTGTCTCTTTGCAACTCTGACTGCAACTGTGATGAACATCAGTGGGAACCAGTCTGTGGTAGCAATGGAATAACTTACTTGTCACCTTGTCTGGCTGGATGCAAAGTTAGAGGTGGTGATGAAAATCCTAATGTGAGTATTAGAATTATCTTCATTCAGTTCTGTAATCAAGATCATAGGTTTACATTTAACAACCACTTATGAAATCTTCCTATAATTAATGTTCCCATTAAAATGATACATAAAAATATTCTAGTCTTTTCAATCATTGTGATACCTGTCATGTTGTATACACAAGCCTCATTTAAAAGTCTTGCTTTGGATCTGAATCAGGTTTTTCTTTTAGTTGAATTCTATGTTGAGAATATTACAGGATATTTGAGTTTTGTCCCAATTTCAATTTAGAAATGAATTTAATTTTAAAAATGAGTTATATTTCCTTGTCTGGAAAGGTGTGCAGTTAACTATTGTGCCTTTTAGCTGTTCAGCTAGGTATTTTAATAATTTAAAAATAATCTACTAGTTTAAATTAGTAAATATATTAGTTTCTATAGCTAATTTTTAGTTAAATATAATGAAATATAGTTCTATCAGGTTTTGAAAATTTATTTTGGAATATTTCAAAAACTGTTTTTTAGGTGTACTATAACTGTAGCTGTATCAAAGTATCGAGTTTCCTCAATACAAATTTTTCGGCTCACTTGGGTGAATGCCCAAGAGATGATGGTTGCAAAAAAAAATTGTACTTTCATATAAGTGTGCAAGTTTTGCTTAATATTTTTGTATCACTGGGAGCCACTCCTTTTGTCTTGCTTCTTGTGAGGTGAGTATGAATTTTTAAAGTATTTTTTTGTAATAAGTGCATAAGCAAATCTAAGGATGATTCCCCCAAATATTTAATATTTTACATCATTTGGACCCAAATTCATGCCTTGCTATATTTTAATTAGTAATGCAACTTCTTGGAATTATTGTGATACTTGGATGCCAGAATTACTATCATTTTGTCTCCCATTAATTAATCATGGAATTCAGATTCTGTACTAGGTTTCTTAAGAATGTTAAGACACAAACTGACCATTACGTACACTGTCAGAATATCTCTATGAATTTAAAATAAGTTTTCATTTGGAGCTGCTTTCCATCCCGATAAGCGTGGGTAGTCATATTTTGATTTCATTGAAAGAGAACATTTATGCACTGGATCTAATTTAAGCCTCAGTAAATTACCATAATTCACGGCTTTTAATTCTTCCAAACAATGGCTTTTCACTCAGTGTCTCATAATATTGTTGTAAACAAAAGAGAAAATGATAAGAAATGAATTCAATTTTCTTCCTTATTTATTATATATCTAAAACAAATACTATGCTTGATGAAGAATATTTCATGGTACATGCAGCAAATAAAATGTGTTTTACCACTCATGTTAGACTGAATACAACAGGAAAAACTGAAGAAACAAAGGAGCTTCAATAATAGACACATAGTGTTCCTGTTAAAAATCAGTAAAAAAAAAAAAAAAAGATTGGTGTGAAACATAGTAAATAAGGAAATCTACTTTTGAATTGAAGACAGGTACTGTGAGGGACCAGTCACAATGTATTTCTCAAAAGATGTGACATTTGTTCTATAGGTTAAAAGACCAAGTAGCTGAAAGAGGGGATATTTGAAGAGAGGGCCAGATGCCCTTATCTTCATGCACGAAGGTGCTACAATGTTTGAGGAATGAGAAGAAGCATTTTTTGGAACAAACTGTGGCGTAGTATAAAAAAGCTCCTGTGAAATCATCTAAAGATTGGTATAGACCTGGAACTGTGTATACAAAAGAATGATGACCTATTTAACATCTAATTATGTTTTTAACCCTACCTACTTGATTACAATTGTATTATCAAAAGCTCAAAGAAGAAGGGGTCTTAAGTATTATTGGATTGTCTACAGAACTGTAAATTGAGACCACAGAAATTCAAATTCTATTCTAACTCCCAATCTTTCCAAATTACTTACACTAAATTATTTTACAGATAGTTATCTTAACATCAAAATGCTTCTTCAAAGCATATACTTTTCTTTTTGCTAAATTATAGTTTCATTAACTTATAGAAAATCATCTCAGTCATACTAGCTTGAATCACAATAATACTTAAATGAAAATATGATAATTTTAGAAAGTACTGTTTTATTACACATGATAATTTTTCTAATTTTTCTAAAAACTTGAGTAAATCAGCATTACCACTTGCAAAAACTACTTACAAAACTTTTACTAACATTTTATGAAAAAAACTTAAGAGTGAGTACACAGTATATAGTTGAATTTAGTATTTCTTTTTCAATTTACATCATAAACTATTGCCTAAGCTAGGCTAAACAAAAATGGTGACATTGACTCAGTTAGTATCTCTTCATTTCAGGCAACAGGCTCAGATCTATATATTTAATTGCAGCGGTGACTAAAACTGATAAAACTTTTGATTTAACTTCAAATTCATCTGTGTGTGTGTGTGTGTGTGTGTGTGTGTGTGTAATGGTTGCAGGAAAATTAGTAATAAAAAAACTTGGAAATAAAGTAAATATTGCTTACTAGAAACAAAAATAAATCATATTAAGAAAATAGACACATTGAAAAGGCCAGTGAATGATACTAGTCCAGACACTGTACGCTGAAGGTTGTAATTAGATTGTAATTGAAGGTTGTAATCTGGATTACGAGATGAATTTTGAGACTCCCGGCCATACAAAGATGGTGCCAGAAAAGAGCTATCAATGCAGAGAAGTGTAGAAGCAGAGGCAAAGGCCCCATGGCCGAGCATACTCCATACAATTGTGTGGGGATTCGCCTGAACTGGAGACCAGAGATGTACAAGGCCCCAGAAATCCCTCAAGAACATGAACACCTGAGGCAAGTCACAGGAATAGGCTGCTCTAGTCTCAGGAACACTGGACACGCCACGTGGATCAACTCCTCGGTGGAATTTTTTCATGATTTCCAACCTCCCAAGTGGATAAGTAAATGTGCTTCAGCCCTTGAGCTCTGGCTCCTTATTATAGTCCTGCTTCTTCATTCCTTCCATCTCATAGGGTCAGCGGGCTCCACATCATCTCAGTTTTCTGTATTTCAGTGACTGCCCTCTCTTTATCTCTCCTCTCACCCTCCTAACCCTGGGAGCAATGAGAGCTGTGAGATATGCAGCCATGCGAGGTATGAGTAAGAAATAAATGAAAGCACAGTGAGAGATCTAGGGGAGTACAAATCACGTCTGTCATGGTCAAGACATTGGAATATCTTCTAAGTACATTGAAGCCAAGAAGAGAGATGGAGCTCTCGGGTTGCACTGCTGATTTACCCAATTAGAAGATTGCTCTGGCTGCTAAATCAGAAATAATCTGAAGTGAGGCAGAAATCATATAATGGAAAACAGAAGACTCCACATATTGTCCACAAGAAGGGGCTTGACTGAGCAAAGTGATTGTTGATAAATGGCGGCAACTCAGGACATGGCCAGCAGGAATTTGGCAAGACTTTCTCACATGACTTCATAGAAGAATCAGACTCAAGTTTATTGAGTGGGGTTTTATTGACTGACTTAGGAGTGTGTAGAGAGTAAGGAATCAGGGAAGCGAGGAGCTTGAATGGCAGAGTCTGTGTGGCTTTGTGGTGACTGCTGAGATAGCAGGGGCTAATGTGCTCTTGTGCCCAGTGCTCTGTGACTTAGCCAAGCAGACAGCACATGTGTGCTGTGTCCCAGCAAGGCCTGCTGGGTGGCAACAAGATATGGAGTTGTTATTTTGGGTCTCAGAAAAATGAGAAGAGCCAGTCCCAGAAATCAGGCAGCTAGAGGCAAACCAGGGCAAGACTTTATAGAAAGGGGTGTGATCAGTGATTTGAGTCTCAGTGTTTTTGTTTTTCTTTTTAAATGACAAAGCCAATTGATTTTGCAGATGAAATGAATTGGCATCCTCTACAGAGGAGAGTGTGAGCATGTTCTCAGAGTTCTGTACTGAGCCACTGAGCAAAATGGAAAAGACTAGGAAAGAGGAGACTGAAGAAAGCAGAGAATCAAGGTCCTGTTCTGTATCTGTGCATCAGAGAGGCCTTTTAGATTTATAGTGACAATGTCATGTATAAGATTTAATTTTGCCTCAATCTTTTTCAAAATGTAACCCGACTATTATATTCTGTGTGTGACAGGATGTTTTGGGCTTGTTTGAAATCTTCTTAGAAAAAATAGTTCCTGGTGGTTGTAATTAGTGTGAGCAATAGAGTTTCAATGAAATGTAATTCATCTGTATAAAGAAGAGCTTCTATAATAGTTAAAAATACCACACTTACAGTGGTTTATATGATGAATTCATACCGAGAGGTCCTTTAGTGTACTGAAGTGCACAGTAGCAGATTTGAAGTAGAGGTCACACCGCAGTGATAATTACTTATTTGAAGATGGTGGGTGCATGAACACACCTACATGTGAGTGTAAATATGAGTGAGGTGGGGGATGAACCTGTGGCAGAATGTTAGTGTGCACACACATGAATGTGGGGCTGTTTGTGATTGTTCTCATGTGTGTGTCACTATATCATACACCTGTACAATTTCTACTGGGTTGCTGTTGAGGTTTGTGACCCATTTTAGGAAAATATTAACCTTATGTAGTAGTCTACGCAGTTGTCCTGAATACTTGGCCTCTCCCTGTTTTAAAAGAAAAATTGTTAACAAGTTTCACAATGTATGTTATGCTTGTAGAGTAAAACATAAGTAAGTGCATCCTTTAAAAATCAAAGGCAGTAGAAATGACTCTGCAGGCACTTATGAGAAGATTGAATCAATGAAACCTGAGCTCTCAGGCTTACCCAAATCTCTCTTGGAAATTATATTTGAGAGAGAGACACTAATAGAGAAATTAATGTCCCCTTTGTTATAATTTCCCATCTTTGTTGTATCATGTACCACCTCCCTCAATAACAGGACAAGCTTCCTGTCCCTCAGGTTCATTGATCTGGCAGTTCCTCAGAACCAGAATGCTTGTTTTCTTTAGTAATATATAACTATAGTGTTAAATATTATTATATTACCTTTAACTGAATTTTTCTGTGCAATTTTGCAAGATTTCAAGTCCCTTTTCTTTTATTCTTCTGTTTTATTGCTGTGGCTACTGTGTGTTTTAGACAGGCTTGTTTATCCCATCTGGATTTGAACTCCAGAGCTCACATGATTATCCTGCATCCACCTCCCAAGGAAGTAGGCCTGTCGGCATTTGCCAAAACCCCTAGCTGTCTCACTCACTTTTGAGGGCCTCCAAAAAAATCATAGTACTCCTGGGAGGATAACAGAACAAATATATGTGAATAAACTTGAGGTATCAATTGCTTGCTCATTACACTGAGCTCTGACAACACATGAACGAAGCATTATAATGCTCACTTAAAAAGTTAGAGTCTAAGAGAGATTAAATATCTTCTCCAAATCATTTAGTTGATATGAATCATCTTTTTTTCTCTTTACTTTCAAAAACAAAATTAGCATGTCATTTCCCAGGACATAGGTACTTAATAAATGTTTGCTTAATGGTCTCCAAATAGTTTGATGAAAAGAAACACAAAACTGTATCATTTAAGTTGGCACTGCAGTAAAGACGATTTTGGCTCTGATGTGATTTTCATAAGAAAAAATGTGAAAATGTTTATGAAACTATCATGAAATCATAACACAGTAAGTACCATAACAATATCAATGAAGTGTGTAACTTTTAAACTTGAAAATAATAACTATATAATGTGGGCAATCCACTTGAGGGGTTTCAGTCAACCATGAAGAAAAATGACATAGGAACAATTTAATATTTAATTCAGTATGCTGTTTTAAAGATGTTTAATGTTTCTTTGCTTTTGTCTTATTTCAGAACGATTCGACCTGATTTGAAGTCTCTTGCAGTGGGTTTCAATTCACTGACTTCACGAACATTAGGTATGAGTATATTAAGTGCAGGGGATAAATATTCACATCAAATCACCAGCTACTCTGTGAAATATCTCCAAGTCAGTATTAGTATAAATCTTTTTTTTTTCAATGAACTTAGAGAATCTAGCAGTATAACCATTTAAAATATCTTGGTTATATATCTAAGCATACTTTTCTCTTTCTCTTACTTTTTTCTCTCTTCCCCACCTGAGTGTCTATTTCTTTCAATAGTTTCTTCCCAAAAAATCAGTTGTACATTTTGCATCCTATGTATTCAGCATCTTACACAAGTGAGACTATATGATGTTTACACATGTGAGACTGATTTATGTCACTGAAGAGTATGGCCTTGAGTCCTTTCCATTTATTTATGAAAGTCTCAAGTTTATCCTTCTTTATGACTGAGTAGTACTGCATTTTAATGAAAAAATCACATCCTTCAAAAAATTAGTTCTTTGGTATATGGGTGCCTGGGTTGTTAAAAATTTAGCTATTTCAAATTGTGCTGCTATGGACATGAGGGCACATTTATCACTGCGACACGAGGCTTTAAATTCTTCTGGGAAAACACTCAAAAGGGGAAGAGTTGGGCATATTGGGACTCTAATCTTAGTTTTTTGAGGACTCTCCACGGTGATTTCTACAGTGTTAGTATCAGTCTACACTTGCACCAACAGTGGAGAAAGTTTCCTTTTTCCAATATCCCCTCCAGCATTTTTTATTGGTTGTTTTCATGATAATAACCATTCTTTCTAGGGAAAGATGGAATTTCAATGTTGTTTTAATTTGCTTCTATTGAGTGATGAGTTATGTTGAAAATTTTTTTATTTAAAGAGAAAGAAAAAAAATAAAAAGTGTAGAAACAATATAAAATTTCAGAAAAATAAACAGTAAGAAATCACCAGTTGATGTTACATGCTGTCATCTTTGAAATAGTTGCTTGAGTTACAAAATTAAAGCATACAAAGTGATATTAAAATAAGGACATCGAAAACAGTTCTGCTCAAGGATCCAACAAGAACTTAGTAATATGGTATCAGTCCTACACACTTGTTTTTTATCTCAAGGAGGTAAGATTAAAAATAACAAAATAGCACAAAACAGTTTATAAGGAAACAGTTTAAAAAAGAAACACAGATTTCAAAACAAGTCCAGTGGAGATCTTCACTGTCTATCTTATTTTCTCTTGCTTTCATCCAAACAGTTGTCTCCATCTTCACACACATTGAATATACACTAAACATTATAGAACTAATCAAATAATTACAGAATGGTGAAGGCTTTTTAGGTCTTCAAGACCTGATTTTGGGGAAGTCAATAATGACTACCATAATGTTTCTCAGTCTTTTTGTAGTAGCTGTCTTTTTCTTTATGTATGCTAAAATTGAACATAAGATACTAGACTAATATTACTCTGAATAGTTAATAGTATTGGTAGATTTTATATCATAATGCTACAGAATTAGCTTTGGGTTTCTTAGTGTCTCTTCTTCTTCAGAGTATCTATTCATTGCATCGTGTATTGTATAATCTGTTCCCATAAATAGTTTAGTAATTCTTCCCATGTGTGAATCTCTACATGTATATTTATCCTTTCTGTATTATAGAGAAAAACAGATGAAAACAAGACAATATAATAAATTCCTAGAAAAACATGAGATGAAAGAGACATATACAATCACAATATTAGGTGATCTACAGTAGTTACTATGCTTTCTGTTGTTATTTTCAATAGAATTGTCCACATCATCAGGCATAATATAATTAAACATAATATCACATAGCTATTTTAATAAAAACACAACCTTGAAGACTTTGTAGGACTTGAAAGCAGTTAATAAGCAAAACAAGAGTGGATATTTTTACATCTTGTTAACTTCAGAGTAGTTGCCTTTCCTCTTAGACTTGATACTATCAAGCATACCAAATTTGAATAAAATCAATTGAGGCTAAACAGTTGTCTAACAAACCAGCTTCAAATAAGATCATTCATATTAAGACAATCTAAGTAATACAGAGTTTCAGTGTAAATTAATAGGAAATTAATGATAGTTACCATGGTATAACCTGCTACTTTTTGGTTTGCTGTCTGTGCCCTCAAATCTATTATGAGTAGATAGATCAGAAAAAAATACAATCAAACTAAACAGAACAATAAGACTACTGTGACTTTTAAATCCTGATACACTTTTGACAATGTCTTCTGCCTTCCTTTTGTAGACAATTCCTCTCTTTCCCTTTCTCAGGGTGCTTTGTATATTTTGGGTCCCACTAGCTCTTTTAGTTTTTAGATTAGGGGTCTAACCTTTTATCTATCTGAGTGTTGCTAAACTTTTTTACCCCTGAGCTTGATGTTAAGCTGTACTCCTTTACTTATTAAAGCCACAAAGGTTTTCCTTCCTTCAAGCTGTGTTGTTCTACACTGCCTAAAAGTGTTATAGTTTTCCAATCTATCTGTGGCTGCTGGATGAGTTGTTCCTATTTCTCTCTGGTTTCCTGTCACGTATAGCATCATTTTCTCATATTTGACTCTCAGTTTATTAATCCTCTGTCTTAGTTACTTTATGCTCATGGCTGTGACAAAATACCTGATGCCCAAGTTGGGGAAGGAAAGGTTTATTTCTTACAGTTTTTGGAGGTTTCAGTCCACACTTAGTTGGCTCCAAGGCAGGCAGGCATGGCTGGACTGCAGTTCATGGCAGCCGCCGACTACAAGCTCGAACCAGCAAAGAGCAAGACACGCCTTCTTCCTGCCATTACATCACATCCTGGCCCCCACCCCCTTGTGGGTGGAGCACTGACACCATCAATCCAAGCACTAGACAATGAACCAATAACAAATGCACAATGCAAACTCATGAGGCCTGGGGGACACAGACATAAACCATGACATTCCACCTCTGGCCCCCAGGACTCATGTACATCCTTTATACAAAAGACAATTAGTCCAACTCCAAGAGTTGCCAAAGTCCTAAGTTTCAGCATTGCTGAACAGTCCAAGTCCCAAGTCTTCTCCAAGATCTATGGCAAACTCTTAACTCTAAGCCCCTGTACAAATGAAACAAGGTTAAGTGTTTCTGAAATGCAAAGGCACAAGATAAACATTACCATCCCAAAAGTTACAAACAGGGGAATTTAAAATAATGGAAACAAAGCAAGTCCAACATCCAGCAGGGCAAACATTAAGTCCTAGAGTTTCACACTCAGCATCTGAAGCAATCTGGTTACAAGCTCCAAATGGCTTGCGTGATTTCACCCCCATAGCACTTCGGGCAATTTTAACTCCTGCAGATTTTTTCTTAAATCTTCTCTGCTTGCTTTTTGCAGCTTCCTTGGATCATCCACATTTCTGGCTTTTCCAAACTTCTGGGATGTCCTCTGCACCTTTGGCTTCACCCTTACATTTTTACAAATTGCCCTCTCCAGAGCACACCGCTTGACCAGCCAGGCCCTTTGCAATCAAGGTGGAAGCCATCTTACCCTCAGGATGTGCATTTTCCTTGCACCTAAAATCAACACCTTGTGGATGCTGCCAAGGTTTGCTGCTAGCTGGAGCAGTAGCCAGACTTTTCTCTCTCTTGGCTGTAGGGGTCAGTTGCCTGGATTGCAGGGCTCTTTTTACCTGATTGTGATGAAAAGTTTCGCTGCTTTGCTGCCATTCTTGAACCTCATGTGACCTCTGTCACTATTGTGGAACCTCATGTGGCCTCTGTTGCCATTCTGGAACCTCACGTGGCCTCTGTCACCATTCTGGAGCATGGCACTCTGCAGCTTTCTCCTCTGAACAAATTCTTTCACCTTTGCTGTGAGGCTGCACAGGGTTGGGACCTGCTTCCTGGGATGCCCTGGGGCCATCTTTCTTATCTCTCTGCTTCTCCTCAGGAATCAAAATCTCAACTCTGTCTCTACAATCCACAGCCTTCCTGGAATTTTCCTTCTGGCCAAACTCACAGTATTGGAAATTATCCTGCTCGACTCTTTGCTCTTGATTCGAAACATAAAGCTGGCTGAAAGCCCCCAACAATAGCCATGCCACAGCCTCAATGTTTGTTTGCTTTTTAATTTCTTTTTCAAGATTAATCAGTCTATTGACCTTTGTCTCAGTCTCAGGCAAAGTCTCTGGGCAGGAGCAAAATGCAGACAAACTTTCTGCCAAGCCATAACACACATCATGTGGAGCCCAACAACCAATACTGTCCTTCTTTCCAGCAGAAACCTCCCAAGCCTGGTCTTTCCCATGAGGCTTTCTATCAGCCTTTTGGTCTCTGGAGCTCTGACCAGAATCTCCTCTTCAGAACAGCCTAAGCTGCTCCAGCTCTATGCATCCAGGCAACATGTTTGAACCTTTCCAAATTTTGTCTCAACCATCTCCAAACCCTCTCAAAAAACATGGTCAGATATAGTCACAGCAAACAACCCCACTCTCGGTACCAAATTTCTGTCTTAGTTATTTTATGCTTGTGGCTGAGACAAAATACCTGATGCTCAAGTTCAGAAAGGAAAGGTTTATTTCTTACAGTTTTTAGAGGTTTCAATCCACACTCAGTTGGCTCCAAGGCAGGTGGGCATGGCTGGACTGCCATTCATGGTGGCTGCAAACAGCAAACAGGAACAGTCAACGAGCAAGACACACCTTCTTCCTGCCATTATATCACATATTGGCCCCACCCCTTTGTGGGTGGAGGACTGACATCATCAATCCAAGCACTAGACAATGAACCAATAACAAATGCACAATGCAAACTCATGAGGCCTGGGGGACACAGACATAAACCATGACACCCTCTTTCAGGTTGATTGTCTTTCCTGTTCAGAAACATCTCGATGCATGCTGCCTCCTAATTTACTCTGTCTGTGTTTCTTTTTTTTTTTTTTAGAATTTCAAGGGTACCTATATTAAAGATTATAGCTTACCATCTCTGCCTCATTTCTACTATTTTATTCTTTTACTATTATTTGTGCACTTCATTCCTTTATTCCACTCTCTGCCCTGCTCATTGATGCCTCTCTGCCACTGTTGCTGGAATCCTGGTATTTTTTCCTCTTTCTCTCTGGAATGTCCTTCAGTATTTTTTGTAAGGCTGGGTTGGTGGCCATGAACTCCCTCAGTTCCTGCTTGTCTTGAAAATACCTTGTTTCTCCATTAATTTTGAGAGAGAATTTTCCAGGTACATCTGTCTTGGTTGGAGATTATTTTCTTTAAGGGCTTGGAATATTTCCCCCCAGGCTCTTCTTGATTTGAGAGTTTGTGTTGATAAGTCTGTCATTATTTTAATAATTTTTCTATTTAAATATTTTTCTATTGTGGGTAAGGTGCATATTTTCTCTGGCTGTTTTTAACATTCTGTTCTTGTGAATTTCTGGAATCTTGATTATTATATGTCTGGGTGTAGATTTGTTTTTGTTGTAGGTGGCTAGAGTTTTGTATGCCTCATTTATCTGGATATCATTTCTTTTTCCTATGCTGGGGAAGTTTTCCTTAATTATATCTGTGAAGAGTCTTTGTAGTACATTTGTAGTTACTCCTGATTCTTTGCTCACATTTTTTATTCTTAAGTTATAAATCATTTTGTATTATTCTAGTCTTTGAATTGCTTCTTGCTGGTTCCTTGTTATTTTTAAGAGATCTTTTCATTCATGATCATACACCATAAATGTCTCTTCAAGTTTTAAAAGCCTAACTTTAGTTTCTGTCAAGGCATTTTGCCAGCTTTCAATGGAGCTTATAGTTTCCTGGTAATCTTTTTGGTTCTGTTTCATGTATTCTAGATTTTGTTTATATTCTTGATCACAGTTTCTCTTCCTTTTCTGAGATCCTCTGTTCTTCCATCTGCATTCTCTTGGGAAGGGCTTATGTTCTCTTTAATCTTTTTATATCTTGCCTCACTTGGATCAGAAGTACAGTTTAACCTCAGTTGATGAACTTAATTTATTCCAGGAGTCTAGGGAAGATGGCTGTGTGTGTTCATGTAGGGAAGTGCTTGTACCCCAAAGTGGAGTTCTTGAGGGTAACCAAAAATTTGCCTAACAATCTTGACCTTTGAGGTTCTCTATAGTTTTGTATTTTGCATACAATTAGGTCAAAACAATGAGACTTTCACAATTTTTGGTTTTCCTGACTCTGAAATCTTCTATGAATTGTTGGTTTCTCATATCATATTGCAGGAGGAATGTTAGCTCCAATATATTTTGGGGCTGTTATTGATACAACGTGTTTAAAATGGTCTACCACCATCTGTGGAACACGAGGGGCCTGTAGGATGTATGATTCTGCATTATTAGGGTAAGTTGTCTTACATGTATTTCATTCATTGTTTTTACTTAGACAATATTAATTTCAAAAGCATATCATTTTGACAATATTAAACTAATAAGTAAAGTCACCATTTAAAGTACCACTAGCATCTGTATCAGTATCTTATCAGAGAATAAGCAACTTAGTACTCATAGCAATTATAGCAATGAATATTTTATTTTTCCCTCTCAAATATGAGTCAAGTAAGACTGAAGAATAATAACTTGTCTAAAATGAAATAGGAGAAATTAAAATAAGTTGGATGTTTGCAGAATTGCTTGTTTCCAAAGATTTTGCTCATGCCAAAATCTGTGTATAGAGATATATGTAACTATCTTTTCTTGCTGTACTGATATAGACAAAGGTGTGAATATTTATAAAAAGCTTTTTGTATAATACATATGTAACAAACATATATACCAAATGTCTAATACATACAGATATACTATATATATATATATATATATATATATATATATATATATATATGAATATAGAGTCTGAACAAAATATATATATACTTCAGGAAAATGAAAACTTGTGTAAATATTTTAATGCAAAATTTATTCTGATATCATAAGATTAATATAAGTTTTGGTGTCTAACTTACAAGGAGTGCTAAAATTGGTGATCAGCATCTTCCAGAAGTTATTAGTATGGTGAACAGTTTACATGGTAACTTTGGCCAGTGAGATTGTTGCACGTGGATTTTAAATTTTCTTGTGTAAGGGCCAGTGGTGTAGTGAGTTTCTGTGGTATACAGCATCCTATAAGGTCTCCAGTAAAAGTAGTAATACAGCATCCTATAATGTCTTCCAATAAAAGGGTAACAGCATCTTTTGAAAAAAAATTACATTTTAAATTTTTATTTTCCTGAATTGTGTATACAGTTTAACTTTCTCAACTTTATAATATATATATATATATATATATATATATATATATATATATAACACTATATATTTATATGGACATAATGATTTTTCTTTTTGTTTCCATTGTGTGTATCCTCTCTAGAGAAACAAATGAGCAATAAGGCTCTTGTTATGTGAATTATGTAAAAGGAAAAATATTCCTATACTATTCCACTCCTTTTTATTCATTTTAATATTTTTATTAATACCTATTCACTATACATAATGATCATATTCATCATAGGGAATTTGTTCCTGTATATAGTACATCTTAATCATTATTGATAATATATCTTTATCATTATCATTTTTCCCATTCCACTACTCCCCTTTAATCCTTCCTCCCCTGGTCATTCACTAAGGCTTTGTTTCCATGTGTTCATTCCTTTCTTTTCTATTCATAGCAGGCGATATTTTTCATTAGTATAAAGAAAAGTGAATGGTAATCTGAAAAAACAATGGCAATGGTAGCTTTCATTATAAATAATATCTATTGTAAATTTATACCTGGATTAATTATAAACCACAGACACTTGAATATGTCATGATAGAATTAATGTTCATTATCTATGAAACAGAGGTCTGTTTCTAAGTATGACCAAGGCTCTGAGAAATCATAGTAGAAAAAATGGTAAATAATTGCAGAACTGTGTAATAAAACTTTTTAAAGCAAACTTCAAAGACAAAAGTAAAACAGGAAGAAGAAATTGCATGTTGCAACACAGACAGAAAGTATCTTGAATACACAACAAATCTAAAAGAAAAAGACAAATAAAAAACAACATGCAAACAAAGAAAAAGTCACCCAATGCTGGCAAGGATGTGAAGGAACAGAAGTAATCTTTCATTGTTTGTCAGAATATGAAACTCTTCAGTCCAATTTAAAGACTACTTAGTGGTTTCTAATAAAGTAATGTACAAACTTATCATATGATCAAGAAAATAATTCTAGGTGTTTTTCTAAGTCAACTGCAGACTTCTGAATACAAAAAATCTGCATGTAAATATTAATAGCAACTCTATTTGTAGTTCTACAATAAAATAATGGAAAATGCAAAGATGCCTTCACCAGGTAAATGGATGAATAAATTGTTGCACATTTAATCAATGGAATGTTATAAAACAATAGAGATGAGGCGTGAATCTAAAAAATAAAGGAAGAATAAATGGGGATGACAGTTTTCATAAGCCAAAGATGTGATGATTCAAACTACATGACTAGAGAAGGCAGTACTATGGAAGCAGTAAAAAAGTCAGTAGATGCAAGTATTTAGAGTGAGATAAATAAATGAAACACAGGTCATTTTGACTTTAGTAGACATATTTTAATAATAATAATATGCTAAATACATGGCCATATAAAACCTGTAAAACTCTCTAACATAATATTCTAATAAAACATGGAATCCTTAATAATATTTCAGTATTCATCAGCTGTAACAAAGGTGCCATACTACTGAAGGATGTTAAAAAAATAGATTTATATATAGTACAGGGAATATGTGGGAACTGTCTGTACATTACGTGCCATTTGTATGTTAACATTAATGTGCTCTAAAGCCATAATATATATTGGAGGATAAATTACTAAGCATTTCCACAAATTTCTTGATACTTGTAGCTATGATTTGTATAAAAATGTTAAAGTTAATTGATTGCAATTAAAACTGACCCTGATTGTTGGCAATCAAAAAGTGATAATTACATATCATGCTCACAAAAGTGCACATCTTCAGAACAGAAACAATACTTCTAGAAATTTATTCTGCACATAATTAGACTCCAAAACATGTAAAATGGCATGGCATGGTGCAACACATCTAAACTCCCAGCACTTGGGATACTGAGTCAGGAGGATCACCATGAATCTGAGGCTTGCCTGAGAGAGATAAGTGAGTTCAAGGCCATGCTACAATTCACAGTCTGACCCTGTATCAAAAAAATCTGATAAATAATTCCATATAATGTTTCACACATGTGTATTATAGCACGTTAGTAAGAGTGATAGGCAGGAAGCAACCACCATGTCTAAAGGTTTTCCTTTTTTTAAAATTTTATTTAAAAGGAAAAAGAGAAAAAACAAAACAAAACAGCGGTGAAAGGGTACAAGTAATACAGAACTACAAAAAAAAAAAAAAAAAAAAAAACAACAGTAAGAAATCACCAGTTAATAGATTACACATTATCATCTTAAAGATAACTGCTCAAGTCACAGTATCAAAGCATACAAAGTGAACATTCAAACAGACTGCAAACAGTTGTGTTCAATTATCCAATCAAAAACATGAATATGGTCAGCTATTTAACACCCCTAAACACACTTGCAGTTGTATCCCTTAGAGCACTTTTTTGCCCCCTCTCTTTTTTACAACAAAATTTACACATTTTGGGTTTTATTACACCTTAGTTCTTATTACTTTTTTTTGAAGAGAATAAAGTCAAATACAGCAAAACAAAGCTGTCAGTCAAAACCAAGGATAGACATAGTACATGATGTAAAAACAGAGTACAAGGTTATCAACAATGGTTACCATAATGCCTTTTGCTTCCTTAAAAAGAATTGTCTATCTCACCAGGTATTATAAAGTTGGACAAAAACAGTAGAGAACAAGACCAATAAAACTTAAACATTGTAAATATGGGACTTCCAAAGGAGATAATAGTCAAACCAGAATGGGCAACTTAGTGAATCTTATTGCCTTCAAAGTAGTTGCCTATACCCTCAAACTTGATACTGTCATTCAGAGCAGAACAGAGTCTAATCAGTCAAAACAAGTGGGAGCATTACAGGACTTCAAAACAAGTTAATAGGAAATCAAAAAAGTTACTATAATGTATCCTGCTAATTTTTAAAATTTTTCTCGTTAATTAAAAAAACATAAAAATAACTAATTTTTTAATGAATAAGGGAGAGATTGAGATAAAAGAGGACATAACAAAATAACAATACAGCTCAAAGCATGACTGTTTCAGCAACCTAGTGCTTCACCACCAAATAACCCGACTTAATAGTAGCTACCATAGTGTCTGTATTTTTCCTTGAAATATTTGAATATAATTTCATATACTATAGCTTCAAATATTTCCATATCAAGAAGCCCAGAATAAAGCCTTTACAATTAATTAGTCAAAACTTTATAAGGCTTCAAGGCCACATAATGGGGAATCATGATTTCCACATACTTTTATATATTTGAATCATTACTTACATTAGGGAAACTATTCGGTATTCACACATGTAAGATTGATTTATTTCACTTATGAGTATGGTCTCAAGCTGCGCCCATCTATTGATAAATATCTCAATGTGATCCTTCTTTATAGCGGAGTAATACTCCATTGTATAGAAATACCACAACTTTTTTTTATCCATTCCTCAGTTGATGGACACTTGGGTTGTTTCCAAGATCTGGCGATTACAAATTGTGCTGCTATAAACATAGGTGCACATATATCACTGTGGTGTGATGCCTTCAGTTCTTCTGGGAATATGCCTAGAAGTGGAATAGCTGGAACAAATGGGACTTCCAATCCCAGCTTTTGGACAAATCTCCAGACTGACCACCACAAAGGTTGTACCAGTCTACACTCCCACCAACAGGGTAGGAGAGTTTCTTTTTCCCCACAGCCTCTCCAGCATTTGTTGTTGGTGGTTTTCTTGATCTTGGCCATTCTTTCAGGAGTGAGATGGAATCTCAGTGTAGTTTTAATTTGCATTTCTCTAATGAACAATGATGCTGAACATTTTTTCATGTATTTATTTGCCATTTGTATTTCTTCTTCTGAGAAGTGCGTATTCATCTCAGATGCTCATTTTTGGATTAGATCTTTGAATTTTGGGGGTCTGAGTTTTTAAAAATTCTTTATATGTGTTAGACAGGAGTCCCTTGTCTGAGAGAGAGTTCACTAAAAATCTTTTCCCAGTTTTTGTGTTTTCTTTACACTATGCTGAAGATTTTTTTTGACATGTAGAAACTTTTTAATAATAAGTGATCCCAGTTATTGATTCTGGGAAGTATTTCCCGTGTGGTTTGAGTCCTGTTCATGAATTCTCTACCTACCCCTATGTCTTCA